TGAGTGACCGGAAGGACTACGGGAAGGACTGAAAATTGTTCAGGCAAGACAAGGGTGCCCCCCCTTTCACAGTGGCTGACACGTATTAGGTCTGCATCAATATTTGGCATTTAGTGAAACTGTACAAGTCAGATTTCAAGCAAATATTTATACTCTGTAAGTCTTAAAATTTGGTAGACTGATTCATCTCTCGTCATGCTATATAAATACGGACAGCGTGATGCAACACGTTCATTTGTTCAGAGGGCTCCCTGCTATGACAGGAACTATTCCCAGCCACTGGATTGTTCCCAGGATGCTCTTCAATGTCCCTGCTTCAGATACAGACAATAGAAAGCAGTCAATGGTTTCAGATGATAATGACTAATTCAGGGTGTGCTTTGTATTCTTAAAGAATCTGAGATCACCTGAAATTCTCCTTTTGAAATCCGTAACCAGACTTCAAGACTTCCACCAAAAATGCCTTCCCATAGCAGCACGTCACTGTTTAAGGTAAATATTGGTTATGGGTCAACATTCATGTGATGCAAACCTCACCCCAATTTAAAAATGACAAAGTCTGCATTATGTCTAAACGACACGCAATTTTAGGCTCAGCATCCCCATTCTACTTAAAGTTCTATTCCCTGCCAGCAGGGTTTTTAGGTATTTAACAGTACTTTTTAATCTCTATAGATTGTGCCCTCTGTTCAAGTTTCAAGCTTGCATTTTCTTTAAAGGGTCAAATACTTTCCTCTAGTTAATGTCCAACGTAACATGCACACATAAAATTCATTAGTAAATTCATCTAGTGAGAGCTTCTAATATTTGTGAAAAGTATGGAAGAGACTGTCCAATAAAGATCACTTAAAATATAGTTATTTTAAAACTTATATTTTTCAAATTCACTACAAATTTCTCAAGAAACACAGCAGGATATGTGGTCTTAAAATAGGAATGATAAAACCAGATGACACAAACAATGCACATTTCACCTTTAAAAGAAAGCATTAGGTTACAAAGAATCTTAGTTTGGGTTTTTTTTATTTTTTATTTATTTTTTTTATTTCAAAAACTCCTTCAGGCATTCAGACTATTTTTGGAAGAAAGCTATTGTCAACAATCAGGAAAGCAAGCTCAAACTTGAAAAGTTGTTTTAAAATATTGTGTAAGAAGAGGTGAGGGCAGAACAGGAATTGCTTTCTTACTGTGAATCTGGTCAAAAGTTCATTTCACTTTGAAGCTTAAAAATAAGAATCTAGCCTGGCAGGAGTGGCTCAGTCGGCTGAGCATCATCCCTTGCACCAAAAGGTTGCCAGTTCAATTCCCAGCCAGAGCACATGCCTGGGTTGAGGGTTTGATCCCCTGTTAGAGAGCATGTTGAGAGCAGCCAACAGGTGTTTCTCTCTCTTTCTCTCTCCCTTCCTCTCTCTAAGCATGTCCTTGGATTAGGATTAATAAAAAAAAGAATCCATATTGTACATTTGATATGTACCAATATTAGGACCTAGACTGTATGTCAAGTCTAACAGAACCAAGTAACTGGCTTTCAAGATAGAATGACCCAACCTTCACCTTCTGAATGAAATTAATTGATGTATTAACTATGTAGATTTCATCCCATAAGAGTCACATAAACTTGAGAAGAAAAACTGGACTCAGCATAGAAGGCAAACTCTAAGGATAATTTCCAGAGTAGGAAAAATAACCACATTTGGAAATCATGTCTAAGAGGAACAAAACACTGACTTCTCCTTCCTTGTCAGAATGCTCCCACAACCCTCCTGTGGGTCTCATCTCCCCCCTCAGAGTGCTTTGTAGCTACTTCTCATGTCTGCTTGCCCAGGTGTTCAGGGCCGTGCTGAACCCCACTGGGGCCGGAGAGATGCTCCCACATACACGTGTTATATGTTTTTGTATTATTTAACTTGACTACTGAGTCTTTGGAGTCCCTTATATTCTTCACCTGAGGCCAGTACTTCACTTGCCTCTTCCTAATCCCTGCCCAAAGGCTCCAAAGGTCTAGCCTCCACCCATAGGCTTTTAACTACCCATATTTATTCTGATGTTTCCAAACGTTTCACCTCCATCTTTGATCCCTTTTACGACTTTTACAATTAAACAGGATGTCACATAGGTAAAAGAAACTTAGAAGGTCCCAATCTGAATTCACTATTTCTCTCCATTTATCCCATAAACAATTCAACGCACACATAAAGTCCACTTCTAAGTCACATTTATTTTACCTCCTGCTATGGACTGAGTGTGCATGCCCCTCCCCCCTCAGCGTGATATTTGGAGGAGGGCCTTTGAGAGGTGATTAGGTCTTGGTGATGGAGTCCTCACAAATGGGGTTGGTGTTCTTACAGAAGAGACCCCAGACAGCTCTCCTGCCCCCTCTGCCATGTGAGGACACAGCTGTCCAGGAACTGGGACAAGGGTCCTCACTGACACTGAGTCTGCCAGAGCCATGATCTTAAACTTCCCAGACTCCAAAACTATTAGAAACAAATGTTTGTTGTTTCAGTCGCGCAATCTGTGGTATTTTTGTTATAGCCACCAAATAGTCTATGGCACCGCCTAAACACAGGCCAGCCTGCTGTGTCTCTGACACCCCAGGACCCTGGTCTTCCTCGTGTGTCTTCCAGCCTTCCACACCAGCGCCCAGCCCCGCCTCCCAGCTCGCTCCAGTCCATCTCCCACACTGAGAGCCAGCCCGATTCAGCAAAAGGCAAATCTGACCAACTCACAGTGATCATTAAAACCTCTTCCTGGTCTGTCCTTTGAAAGGGAACTACTACTATTTATTGCCATTTCTGTTGTCTTCAAAAGAGTGTGAGAACTTTTTTGGAAGGCCTATATCATATTCATCTTTACCCCAGTTTGAAAAGTGGCCCAGTGCCTGGTCCACGGTGAACGGGCAAAAATGCAGAACTGAAGCAGTTACAGAGACGAGATCAGGAAGCTCATGGGGGGCGGGAAATGACCTATCAAAACTTACATATTACTTAGTCATTATCATTGTCTAGAAGGAAAAAATTCATTTTTTATTTTTATTTACTTATTTTAAAAGTTTTACTTATAAAGATGTGGTGCCTGATTTCATGGGTTCAATCTCTGGTTCCACCATTTGGTTTATCCTTATTTTTACTTTTTTACTGTGAGCGCCTAGTAAGTGTCAAGTGTTTCAAACAAATTAGCTAAATTCCTAAAAACATGTCCAATAATGTGCTGTCTGGACTTGTCTTCCTTTTTATTTTCTCCCAGGATGTTTTTTGATTTATAACATTTTTCTGGTCTTAAAAAATTGCTAATGGAAAATGATTGTAAAATACTTATGTAATTAGGACATTTCAACATTTTCAAAAATGGCAAAAATAAACAGCAGTTATGGAACACCTGCTTAAAAGATACTGGAAAAAACTGCTTTGTGCTTCATTAACCAGTATAAACACATTTGCCAGCTTAAATCCCCTACTGAATTTAGGATTTCCAATTAGTACTGGAATTGTTTTAAACTGTCAAAGGAAGAACTCCTGAGTAAAAAATTTCAGAATGGCCTTTCTTAAGGGCACTTTTACTGCTCAAACAGATGCCTGTGTTCTTAGAAGATGCCTATTTTCTAATTTATTTATTAACACCAAATTTGTGTCTATTTTATTAGGTAATTTTAGACTACCTTTCTGCAGATTTTTATTCATCTTTGAGTAGCATTCAACACAGTTCCTGGAAAATGGTCACTTCAAGGACCGAGGTAGAAGGAGGAAGGCAGACAGGGAAACCTACTAGATATTGGTTGATTCTTGCATGTGCCCTGACCCGGGATCAAACCTGCAACCTTGGCTTACTGGACTGATGCTCTAACCAACAGAGTTACCCAGCCAGGACCTCAGTTCACTCTCTATAATTAATCATTAAATTATATTGTTTCAGTCACCACCATTATTGTACAGGGTTGTGCCTGGTCATCTGTCTACTCCTTAATCAAATGTAGACTACACCAGTGTCCTAAGGGTCATTGTACAGGGCAAAGCTCAAAGAATCTGAGCAAAAAAAAAAAACAATTCCAAACCCAGGTCTGCCATTACATGGCTATGTTATCATCTCAACTCATATTGTTTCTCTGTACTTCTATTTTTTCCTGCCTTCAAAAAATTTTACCAACTGGTCAGTGACAGAAAAATAAAAAATCTGATAAACACACATGCACATTCACAAATACCCTCATTCCCATCCACATGTACAAAGGAAGCAAGGAGTACAGAAAAATAAATTGAAACCATTATATTAGACAGTGTACACAAAATAACAAAAGAACTAATGTTAAATAAGTTAATACTATTCATTGTCTCACTAATTAATTTGAGAAAATTAATGTAGGGGGACTTAATTTGGGGAAATCAGGTTGAAAGAAAATTGGTTTACAAATTTAGAGATCCATATACCCTAAGGTAGCATTTTAAATGTTTCCTTCAAGGTTGCACTTAACGCAATTGAGGGTTTCATAGCCCTAGCCCTGTAATCACCTCACAGGCTCAGGTGATAATGTTCTAATAATAAGTCATCCCAGAGGTCTTTGCTACCACACCTTACCTGGATATACCATCACATGTTTATATTGAACACCTCGTGTTCATAGGTTCCCCAGAAGCATACGTGACAACAGTTTCTGCGCTCCAGTTTACCCTTCTTCAGTTGAGTTACATCTGTAATGGGAACTGTTCTGTACCACTGTGTCATTACACAAAACAATTTTAAGAGAAATTTAATAGATTTTTAAGAAAAGAAATTTGGTCACCAAACTAATCTTATAGGATGTTTAACTGTTTCAATAGATTTTTTTAAGCAGTAAAATTAAGCACACTTTGAGATGATTCTAATATAAAATATTTAAGATAAAAAAATTGCAGCTGTACTTGACGCATACTTAAGTGCATTTCTAAGTATATGTAAAATCTTGCCTTACAATGTGTAGAATGAGATTAGTTTTCAGTGTGAAATCATGTATCCATGGTACTTACAAAGCAGTTCTTATCGGGGTTTCTCTTCCAATGCTTCTTGTCTAATTTCTTGGCCGAAGTCGAACGCAGAGTTGCATGAGTTTGTGTTCGAGGATTTAAAGCCAGGAGATTCTGAAGACAGTATAAACAATATATAAACATACATAAATATGTTGCTGTTAAAAATAAATCAAAGTTTTATTTTAATATTCCCCTCACATACCCAAAGACAAACATATATTATAAATGTTGCTTTCCCTTTCTACTACTGTAATTCCAAAATAAATTTATTCCAAGTAATCATTTATTAGGTAATATCCTAGCTGAGTGAAAAACTACAATGACTAAAATGAAAAATTTGCAAGAAGTGTTCAGTAATAGATCTGAACTGGCAAAAGAAAGAATCAGCGAACTAAAAAGAGATTTTGCAATCCAATGAAGACAGAAAAAAAAATAATGAAAAAAATAATAACAGAGCCTTAAAGATATGTGGTACACTATTAAGTATGCCAAAATACTCTAATGGAAATACCAGAAGAGGAAAGAAAGAAGGCACAAATATATAAAAATTAGTATTGGCTGAAAACTTCCCAAATTTTATTTTAAAAACAGAAAACATTAAGCTGTACATCCAGAGGATCAACAAATGTGAAATAGGATAAATGCAGAGAGATCCACACACAGACACCATAGTGAAAATGCTAAAAGTCATCTCCAAAAAAAAAGTCTTGGAAGCAAGAGAAAAAAAATATGACTCATCATGTATAGGAGAATTCCAATGACAATAGCTGTCAGAAAGCAGTGAGATGAGATTTTCAAAGTACGAATAGAAAAAAAAAATTGTCAACCAAGAATACTATACTCGACGTAGAAGAACAAAGGAAAAAAAGACTTCAACAGCACTGTGTACTATCTGAACCTAATAGATATCTATAGAACATTCCACCCAACAGAAGAATACACATTCTTCTCAATGCGCACAGTACATTCTCTAAGATAAACCATGTACTAGGCCACAAAACAAGCCTCAATGAAGTAAAAGAATTAAAATCATAGGAAGTAGTTTCCAAATACAATGCAATGGAGTTAGATATCAATAAGAGAAAGAAATTTGGGAAATTTACAAACAACATAGATGAATATGGTAAACATTATACTATCTGAGAGAAGATAGTTACAAAATACCACATACTGTATGATTCCATTTATAAAAAATGTCTAGAAAATGCAAATCTGTGAAGGGAGAAAGTAGACTGTGGTTGCCAGGGGCTGGGGAATTAGGGACAAATGGGTAGTGTCTGCTCAAGGGTATATGGTTTCTTTCTGAGGTGATAACTGATTGTGGAGATGGTAGCACAACTCTATGAATACATTAAAAGCTTCTGAATTCTACACATCATATGGGTAAATTGTGTAGTATGTCAATTATTTCTCAATAAAGCTTATATTAAAACCAATAATCACTAAGTTCTTCTTTCAGTGGACTTCACTGTTTACTGTATTCACTCTAATAAACATCACTGGGACATACTTTATTGGCCCAATATAAATGACGATTATTTTCAGTAATTCTTATATATGATGGACATGATATTTCTTCTATCTATCTCTTTAGATGTCTACGTCTTCTGACAATAAACATATAATACAGCGAGGAATTTTAAATAGTTTATTCCTTATGATAAAATAATGTCAAAGCAACCTATCAGTTGATAAGAGCCAACATTTAAAATATAATTAAGTGCATTTTTACACAAAAAAATGAAAACATTTTCTTATATAAAATAAATGCAGTTTTTGTTTGTCTAGTTAATTTTGAACCTTACTTATCTTATTAATTCACACTGATAAATAAAAAGATGACATTTTTTTTTAAGGTACTTATTGTGGCCAGCATTTAAAGCAAAAAAAAAAAAAAAAGAAGAAAGAAAGAAAAAAAAAATCTGGGTAACATGCAAGAAAGATGGCTGCATTTATTTTAGTTTTTACTTCCACAATCCATATTGTGATAAATGATTATTTTTATCTATTTCGGCAGAGTAATGTAACTTTTGAGGAGAAACATTCTGAATACAATTTATTGGCTGCTTATCACAGTGACTTTTCTTTTACATAGCATAAGTAGAAAGCATAACATGAAATATTGGGTTAACCTTTTGCAAAAAGGCAGTGACTTGAATTCAATGGATCTTGGGTAAAAATAAATTGAATTGTGGAGAATGGTTACCAAGGATTTGACTTAATAATATCCCAAATGAAAACTGATATAAAATAAAAACACAGGACATGAGTGGTTGAGAGCTGTTAAAAACAATTTTCCAAAGCAAGACTTTTTTAAACTAAAAGTCAATATCATCAATAACTAAGCAGCTGGCAGAATGAGACAGGAGAGTTCTAAATTACATTCTTCCTAAGAAAAGACCAAAGGCAGGTCCTAACAGGGTCATGAGTTCCCCTGGCTGGATAAATTGAGCACTTTAAAAAGCCCATTAACCCTCTCAGATAAAAGGTATATTACTTACAAAGGGAGATTTTTCTCCCATGCAAAGAATTTGGCTTTCCCAATCATTTCCAGTAAGAATATATTTTTTTAAAAAGTACTGGTGATTCTAGAGGCAGAACAGAATTTGAGAAAATGCCACTGCACTAATTTTATTTATTTTAAGAAATGGTAGAATATGATGCAGAGACATTTACGCAAGAGATTAAATTAAGTTTACATGCTGTCATTGTGTTGTCTGTCAAAATATTCTGGGAAGTGGCTGGAATGTCGTAATCAACCGACTAGAACCTGCACCTGCGGGTGTATTTCTGCACTAACAGAGAGCGCGTGAGGCAGAGCCACGCTGAGTGCAATCACAGGCCCTCACGTCACAATAAAAGCAGTCCTAGCCTCAAAACTCTGGAACTGAAGTATTTGAGAGCTTGAATTCCAGTCGCAGGATGTCGCTTGGCCAACACACCCTTTCTAAAAACACGGCTTCGTTTGATATCACAACATTGATTATCCAAACATAATGCACCATTAAGCTTCCTTCACCCTTTGCATTTAAAATTATAAACAAATGTTCCCTCTTCAATACTGGTCATTACTAACTATAATTCTGATCCATTAAAATGATACACAAATACTGACATTTTAGATTTACAAGCTAAACTTGATGAATTACATTTTGTCTTATTTAAATTATCCCTAATTTTGCCTTTGATGGCTAATGTGACTCCTCTATAAGTTACCTCCTACTTTCCACAGCATCAAGTAAAATAATGATAATAATAACAACAACAACAACCATGCTTTACTCATGTTTTGATAATTGGGCATAAGTACCTTGATTTTGATAAAGCATTATATCATGCTGCCATTATTTCCCTCAATAAATATTCTCAGCTAATAGGAAAACAGAAATACCTACAGTCTAATGCATCTGATCAGTATCTGTTCCTTCATTCAGATGGCGATCTGACAAATGTTGAGCAATGGAGATGAACCTTTCAGTACTTACTTCACAGTCTCATGCTGACAAGCCCGTCTGGGGCCATTATCCCACCTTCTGCCATGTCCATCATGAGCCACTAGGTAAGATTAATTTAAGGAGGTATCTCAGGACCTCACCAAGGTGCCTTTGGTTCCTAAATAAAGCTCATTCCTCACATGGCCAGTCTACAGCTAGGTTGGCAGCAGAAAAGGAAAGAATTTTGCACCCCAGGCCCACATCTGAACTATAAACAACCTCAAAGGCTAAAGCTTTGAAAAATCTAAGCTAATCAGTCCTGGTAAGAGATGTCCACATTTTCCGAAAATGTTTTTAATGCACTTCCATTTTTCCCCAGGCTCAGGCTTCTATACCCTTAGGTTGAATTACCTTTCCAACTAATTGAGCTTCCTTTTTTTTTTTTTTTTTTTTTTATTGTACTAGCTCTATACAATAGCCAATTTTCCCTTTATGTACAAAGACTAACTCAGTGCAGTTAATTAATAATTGATGGAGGAGGGAGTCTCTGACGGTCCTAAATCTTACAACTTTCCTTTTATTAAGTATTCACTAAGTACGGTGCATAGTATAGAGGTTGAATTTGGGCTTAGTTCTTAGATCTCCCTTTTTTTATCTGGTCATAGGAACTCTCAACATCTCTACTTCTTCAACTATAAAGTGGTGATTAGTAATAGTACCTACCCCATAGAGTTCTATGAGGGTTAAATGAGATGATACATAAAGCTGTCTGGAATGGGGCAGGCAGTGAGCACTTACTACCTGTGATTAATTAGTATGTGATGAAAATATATTTTAAACCTCATTCAAGCTCCTATATTGCCAATTCTGAATATATGCATGGAATCATCTTTTTGAAGTACAAGAACATAATAAAGATGGAGGCAACAAGTGAAAAGATAACTATAAATAAGAGAGCAAAAAAGGAAGATGTATCTCAGGTGAAACCCATCACTGGCCTCTTAACTTACCTCTGCCCTAAGCCCACAATTTCAAAGGCAAACTACCTAAAAATGCAGTATCCTCCACACGAATAATTATGGCCATGAAAGGGGCCAGGAAATTCAAATACAGATTTCAAAATCTAGTACATACAAACAGCAATGTGCATCTCATTTTATATACATACAAGTGTATATAACTCAGAATTTCGGTCCTAACATGTTTAAGTGAATTCCCATTACATTTCCTTCCCAAGAAAGATAGGGTAGTGAATTTATAAGACATCAAAAAACTCATCAACTGGAAATGAACGAACCCCTGAGAATGCTACTCATATTCCCCAGGAAACTGGATTCATTTCTATTGAACAAATAGTTAACACAAAATAGTTCTTGCATCTTCAATATCACATTCACCACGTCACCCTTCTACTCAACGTGAGTTCTGCCTAACAAAGTTGTAGTCTGGCTTCGTAAGGCCCAGCGACTCTTTACCTATGGAACACACATCTGGCTTCGTAAGGCCCAGCGACTCTTTACCTATGGAACACACCACATCTGGCTTCGTAAGGCCCAGCGACTCTTTACCTATGGAACACACCACATCTGGCTTTGGAAGGCCCAGCGACTCTTTACCTATGGAACACACCACATCTGGCTTCGTAAGGCCCAGCGACTCTTTACCTATGGAACACAC